GTGTTCTATAGTTCTAATCTCTGACACCTGTGGATCAGTATGTTATCATTTGCACACTTTAAATCACAATATTCATCTAAAACAAGTTAATCAAAGAAAGAAGTGCACTGGTGCCAGTGGGAGCTGATGTAGCCGTAAACATGACAACAAAGCACCGCGGGCTGTGAGCTCCTCCTATGGAGAACTGCACATCACACGAGCGAGTAGTGGATTTATTTTTTATTTGTACAAAATGATGACGTAAAAGTGGTGATTAAGAAAATAAAAGTGCAGAAGGAAGTGCGTAGGTCACAATGAGCGTGTACTGTGGAGGTGAAAACAAGTATATCAGAGCAATGACGTGTTGAATAAAGATGACTCAAACATGCACCAATCACTCCAAATACAACTTCAGAGGGTCAATGAGAAGGAAAATACTATAACAGGGTTTTCCTGTCTAATTTAACAGCTATGATAAAAAAAAAAAAAAAAGTATTATAATAATTATATTGAATTATTTATTTGCTGAAATCCATCCAGGTTTAAACCTAAAATAACTTCAAGAACCTGTACAACTCTACTACAAGTGTCTAAATGTGCTATCAAGATTTCAGAGCTTGTCATTTGGAATCAACTTCATTCCAAAGTTATTTTTACCTGAGTTATTTGTTTCTAATTAAAATGACTTTTTGGAAAATTACAGTTTTAAAAATGACAATTGAATCAAGCACAAATATCTTGATTTAACAAACAGAACTCTTACCTAATCCCAATTTTAAAACACTCCCCCTAATCTTAAACTTCAGCACACAGCAGAGCGTCCCTCCTGGCCCCAAACTCCAGCATTTACCTTTTACTCTTATTATTGTCTAGAATATATTGTACTTCAAATGTACCACATCATATATTGTACTTCAAATGTACCACATCATATATTGTACTTCAAATGTACAGTACAGTAGTTGACATGCTTGGCCACCTCCTGAGTCCCCTTTACCAAACCTCAGAGAAGCAAATATTGATCCCATAATTACCATGACCATAATTACCATGACCTTTCACACACACACGCGCACACACACACACACACACACACACACACACGCACAAATGGTTACACACACCGCTTCAGATGCTGCGCACAGGGACACCACAGTCACCATGGTAACAGCCACAGCCGAGTACAGAAGACACCTGATGGCTGAAGAAAAGGAGTATTATTAGGACACTCTGAAATGGCTCTGGCCTCTCTCACTGTACAGGTGACAGATAGAGAGCAGCGTGTGTGTGTGTGTGTGTGTGTGTGTGTGTCTCTATGAAGGGCCGTATGTGACATGACTCTAAACTGCCCACAGTTGAAATGCAGCTGGAGGATAGCTCCGAATCCTACGAAGAACTTGCTTTTTCAAGTGCACCAGTGGGTGGATGGTTTGCATGTGTTTCCCTTTCTGAGTTGGTTTGGTGGATAGTATCTGTGGTCAATATTTATACAGAATACAGAAAGTAGCAGTGAGTTTGTTTTTTTTTTACTTAAAAAAAAAAAAAAGAAAGAAGAACAACAACAACAACAACAACAAAAAAACATGCAATATTTATTTTTACAAAACAAGCAGGTTGTGTACTCAGTATGGTGGTTAGTGCTCTCAATTCTCTCAAGAAACGTTTCTGTGTGGAGTTTGGATTATTTCAAATCTATATATGTATGTCTTAGACAAGGAAACAACAAGCATTGATCTGTTGGAGCTGAAATATCACTGCCAACCTGTGGGTCAATGGGTGATGTTTATGCCACCCTTCCGACAATCGAACAGATGCCCTACTTCCATTTGCACTCCTCACCCACACACCCTGCTATTCATTTTCAATCAAAAATGAACAGAAAAAAACAACAAAACCTGTACTCAATGTCCTTGGTCCATATCAGTCCCAAAGCCTTGTCCGTGTTTGTACATGGTGGATAGAGTCCAAGTGTTTGTCCATCTGTCTTCCGTCCTGTTCAGAGTGTGTCTGCATGGAGCACAGAGTCCTCTTTTCAAACACTCCACGCTATAAAACCATCTGTAGCTCAATAAATGGAAAGTGGAGCTGTTTAATGTCATACTGTGGAACATTCCAGGCAGAACAATGACATCTCCACAGAAACAAGCAAGAGACTTGTAATGTATACAAGTTTTAGCTCTTGTTTACATTACGGTTGCTAGGTAACAGATATTATAATGTTACTCCCCAACCCGGAAGAAACATTATAAACTTCACCAAAATTTCAAAGTAGAAAAAACAAGTCAAATCTTAAATAAAGATGTGAAGTATGTTTGTGCACAGTCTAACCTGCTCTCTGCACTTTAAGAGGTTTGGCCTGGCACACATCAGATGAAGTTTATCACATGCATGTTTTTTGTTTTTTTTTCCAAAAGTAGAGAGACCTCTAACCTCTGGGCTCATTATAGTTTTATTGTGCTGAAAAGGCTTGCTGGGAGTTTCCTGCTTTCTCACCGCAAACGTGTTTCCATTGATGAGACAAGAAGCAGAGGCCCAGTTATCTCCAGAACCCTCTGAATATTCAAAGAACAGGAGCACGAGTGAGGCCATCTCCACTCTTCATTCTGCAACATCTAGAAAGCTCCGCTTATGAAAGACTTTGATTTTTTGGCTTTTAATCAGTGTTTGATACACTTCATATTGACATTCTTATTCAATATTTTACTAGGGGTAATAACTTAGACTTGAACTTTAACAGTCACATCAAATCAATAAAAACTGCAGCTTTTTACCATCTAAAAACACACCACAAATGACACATTCTGACAACAATCTCACACTTTTCTGAGCTTTCATGTGGATGGTGTAGAGTCCTAAATCTGGTCACAGACCAAATGTGATCTTTTTGGCCCCTTCTTTGGAGCCTCGGTTCCCCATGTGGCACAGTTAAATGTTGATCAAATTTTTACCAGAGAAACTTTGGCAGATTCTTATTAGTTTAAAGTAATAAAAACATCTACTATTAACTTCCTTCATTTCAAACGGAATTTTTGAAAATGAGCTCTCACAGGTCACTTTTGGTGGAGTTTAGGGACTTTTCCACCTGATAAAAAGATTCAATTACTTTAATAGACTTAAACACTTGTTGCTTGTTATAAGTGAAGACAATTGGAGATTATTTGTGGTACATTGCTTGGAAAGTAGCAAATCCTTTGAGAAAATTCAACTATTAACTCTGCACAAAATTATGAAAAAATTGTTTGTTTGCATTATTTATTCTATTTTTATTTGAGGAAGATAATTTGTTATCTCACAAAGAAACAGTTTTTCATGGTGTATAAGTAAAGCAACAAAAGTTCAAGTATTCATGGAAACTGATCAAAGGCAAATTACAATTGGAAAACTTTGCCTGTTAAATCACAAAGTCTCTGGTTCTATAACCATGACTTTCAGAACCACCATATGTGTATTATTTTTGAACAAAAATATTACAAGGCAGCAGTAACATTAACAAGAAAAAAAATGATACTGACACAAAAGTTACCAAAATACAATAACCTGGTCTGTTATTTGTTCAACTGCTAGAAATGACCTTTTAAAAATTCAGTGTGAAAAACAACCTCAGTGGAAAATACCAACGTACTGGACAAATATTTGTCACCTACATGTAGATCATGTGTATTTGTATCTTGCACACTAAGTGTTCCTGACGACTAATGAACTTCAGAAGTCATGTTTGGATCCTGTCATCATCTGCAGTGTCAAGGCCATAATCTCGTGCTCTTCTTCTCTGAACTTCTCTTTCTTTAATGCAACAGATTCTGTGCTGAAATGTGACCCAACATGGTTCTGCTGATGTTCAGGAGAACACATGAGGGTTCTGTTGTCTCCATTCATGAATCTCACATAGACATCACCATGTTCATCTGAACGCTCTGAAATATTCCCAATGAACCACCTGATGTCAGAAATACATGCACCGTACTGACCTGCTGGTACAGAGACAAAACTGCACAATGTCATTTTGTATTTCACAAACTGACACTTCAGTTCATA